TCGCGAATTGTGCAAGTAAAGTGCACAGTTGGCCAAATCTAAGTCACTGATCTCAAGCATTCAATGGTTAGATCTGTCCACACGAACTCATGGGAAATGGTGGACTCACGGAAATACTGGGCTATATCAAATGTGCTATACATGCAAAATAAAAAATAAAAAAAGTGCTATACATGCACATTTTCTGATTTAAACATATATCATATTTACATTAATATATAACAAATATTTACATAAATAGAGCAATCTCAATCAAGTTGATCAAATTATTTGACTTGATAACCACAAAGTTACAAGTTATGATCACAAAGTGAAGTTTACCTAATGCATCAGGATTTATCGATGGTTCTCTCACATCTACTACATAAATAAATCATATTAATCATTACATTGTACGTAAAACATTATTCACCTCAACCCTTCCCTATATAAAAAAATAAAAAAATAAAAAAAAATTTGGATAGACATATAGCACTAATGTGCTATACATGCACATTTTATTATTTAAACATGTATCTATCATATTTAAATAATATTATGACAAGTAAACCTTAAAATATACCTGCAGCACGATCTATTCATGTGTTGGCGTGTTGCAGTAATTTTTTTATTTTTATTTTTTTATGTTTTACTAAAAGAACAATTTGACGCCATTAAAATGTATTAAAATTAAACATAAATATTTTTAAAAATAAAAAAAGACTAATCATTCAATTTTCAAGTTATATGAAGTACCTATTCAAATTCAAGGAATTCATCCTACTAAGAATCAAAATTAAATAAAGTGGCCTCCCTTGGAAACTTTATTATTCAACAGTCAAATAATTTTTTTCGATTTAGAATAAATTTTTGTGTTTACTATAAATTTTAATTTAGTTTTTCAATATATATATATATATATATATATATATATATATATATATATATATATATATATAATTACAAAACTCAAATACTAAAAAAATTAACTTTTTTTTCTACTTTATGTTCACACCATTTTTTGGCATTGTCACTTTTAATTCAATGATTTTACTGACATTTTCAAATTTGTTCCTTTATTACAATATTCATTTCATTAAAGTAGCATTAGTTTCTACTTTCTAGGATGATTTAATAATTTTACATTCTTAATATAATTTCTAATTGAAATATGTTCCAATATAATATAATAAATAATAATTATGTCATTAATTATCGTTAATGATGTCATTTACGAACATTTTTAAGTAAAAATAAGAAATTAAAAATTTGAAATGACTAAATTGTCTCAAAAATTATAATTAGATTAGAAGGAAATTGTAATAGAAGACCAAATGTGACAATTAAGCAAAGTCATGGCCTCATGAAATTTAATGTTGTTAAATTAAAAGAAAAGAACTAAATAATTCTCTTTAAGCAAATTAAGCATATAAGATGAGCAGTATATATATTGCACTACCATTGTTATTTGTTGGTGTGTTTTCAATATTTGAATTATTTATACAAAACTCTACTTGTTACATTTGCTATTCAACAATCAAATTTTCTTTGCTTTATTTTACGTTTTCTTTTTTCTTTTTTAATAAATTTTAAAGAATTATGTGTAATGCAACGTCTAATTTAATTTCTAAATATATAAATTTTGTTTACCATTACTAAATTTTGAAAAGTACAAAATTAAAATGTTAACTATATAGTTTGAGAATAGTAAATCTAATTGAGGTTGCGAAGTTGGCATAAATAAAATGAGAGAAGAAAATGAGCAATATATTCATAATGGCCTGTTTGGTAAAATAGTTAGCCTATAGGTCAATTTTTACTTATTTGACCATTATTAATTGTTTGACTTGGTTTTAAATCAATATAAGTATTTGATTAATTAGCTTTTCTGTACTTCTAAATGCTAAAATTCAAAAATCTACTCAAAACAACTTTTTCAATTAGCTTTTTGAGAAATGAAATTATCCCAAACAGCTGTCAGCTAACAGCTAATCTACCAAACACTTTTATACAATCAGCTAATGTTATCAACTAGTTATACCATCTAATAACCCAATCAGCTAACAGCTAACAGCCATTAACCAAACATGGCCAATATCTACCTTCAACTACTAACCGGGAGTGCGTACGGGGTAAATATCACTTATATGTAATAAAATGCAAACCACACAAGAGAGCTAAATCGTACTAAGAAGACCTTGTGCAATGATTGAAAGTATGACAATAATTGAATTCGTGACTCTCTAATACGAGAATTATGTGCCACTCACTAGCTTGATTACCTTTTTAGAGTTTTTTTTTTTTTTTTTTTGGAATAACCTTTTCAGAGTTTTTTTGACCATTTTGATAGATAAGAAACAAGTTTAATTTACCCATATCTGCACGGACAATAATTCATGGGTGACAAATCGTGTGGGCAACTCCAACTAAAACTAACCAATTCAAACATAACATTGGCGAGGACCATTATATTGCTATTATTACACTAAGCACGAGGGGGAAAAATAAATATTCAAGCTGAGAAAAAAAAATAACCGAGTCCAATATATAAAGGGGGATAGATTGAAAGCCGCAAAGTCAAATATGATACATATAATATCGATACAAACATGTTGTTTTGTTGTACGTTGAATATTCATGAATCTGGTGGCAGCAGGTACAATTGAAGAAATACAATATAAAATAATTTGACAATAAAATTGCAATCTATTTCTGCCTTTAGTTTATGTTTCTTAATCACAGTTGAAGTCATTGCACAGCGCGTTACTATCACAGTGCTTCCCGTGCGGTCACTTACTATTAGATATACATAAATGTACCACAAAGTGTTTAAGAATGCACCATTAAATGTAGTGCAGCGGGTTTACATTTTGTTGTGCATTTTCGAACACTGTGTAGAGTATTTTTACATATCTAATGATGAATTCGAAACCGACCGCACGAGAAGTACTGTCCATATTTGAACCAATAATATATATATATATATATATATATATATATATATATATATATCAAGACACTATTTGAGAAGAATATTATTTGGTACATTATTATATCTACTTATATTAGTTGACCTTCTTGTGTGAAATGGATAACATATATGTAGGCTCTATTTGACATACATTATTTTAAAAGTAGCTTAAAGTTGAAAACTTAAAAGTTACTAACTACTAGCTAGTTTATTTTGAAACACTACTTAAAATTGTGTTTCAAAATAAGCTATTATTTTAAATTTTTTATATTCTACGAAATAGAACTTATAACTTATTTAAGTTATAAGCTCTAAAATGAGATATACAAAACATAGTCGTAATATTTTTTTTAACAAAAATATTGTAATGCATTTTTATGTATCAACAAATATTACATTTTTATTGAAAATATATTGCATTTTATTGATATGTTTTAAAGGAACATATAATACTTTTCAGCAATAATGCAATTAATACTTGTTGGCTTATTAAAAAGTTACATTTTTGTTAAAAGTTATATGTATTTAGATTTATCACGTGAGACGATCTTAATTATATAAATTTTGTGTTATTAAAAAAAAAAAACACTATGCAGACATAGATATAGTATATATAGACATAAAATATATACAATTAAGGAAGTTTCTAAGTATATAATACCTTAATCATATCCCGAAAGTGGGGCAACTAATTGAAATTCAATTTCCTTTCAAAATTACCTGTTTTCGTATCATTCAGGTTGTCTAACCAAAGTCGTACTTTAGTAATTTTAATTTGTTACTTATCTTTCTTTGTTCATACACTATACTAGCTTGAGGCTTTGAATACAAACCTAAAAATTATATGAAATTCAATAACGGTAAGATTTAAATAAAAACAAAAACGTGTTAATGTAATCAATTACATCCCTTTTTTATATTCTTACCAATTCTTTCTGATTTTTCTGCCCATTAATACAGTAAATAATTTCATTAAATATACTAACTTGTATATTTTACTTACTTTTCCCAAAGGTTGAGTCCTGCATGAGCCATACTGTTGCTATCGAGTTTTTATCTCTTCTCCCACGAGCTAAATTCGTGCCATCATATATTTTACTTACTTTTTATACACTTAGTTGATTGATTCAAACTAAGAAATAGGAGGCAGCCGTGACTACTCCCTCCTTCATCCAAATTGGACGAAGGACGGGGCAATAATGGCTACCTTCATCCACAGTAAAAGGAGCTGCCTCCACATTCTTTTGAAATTAAAAAAAAAAATGTTTTTTTTTTCTTTTTAATTTCTAAAAATAGTAATTAAAATAATTTTTTATATATAATTTGACATTATGACATCATATTTGAGTGAAACTTAAAAGTAACATGTAAAAAAAATGATATTTGCACAATTTTTAAGTTTTTTTTTTTTTTTTTTTTGAAAATCAATTTTTAAGTTTTTAATTGTTCAATTTCACTCTTTTTTTTGTTCGATGATTCAATTACATAATATGTAAAAGTTCAGTAGCTTATTTGACACTTTTTCGTAAATCTTTTCTAATTTTTAATTGTTATCATCTTATTAAGTAGTGACAAGTACAGTTAAATTAAGCGCACCGTACCATAATGAGTCGTCTTAGATCATTTCCCATTCATTAAATGTTGTCAGTCACTTGCAACTAACATCTCCAACTTGCTTCCTTCCCTATTCAATTTTCTCTCACATCTAATATAGTTTTGAGCTGGAGCATAAAGATATATAAATGATTGTGTACGTATCTAATCACGAAAGCAGATGACCCTTCGTCTCACCTTCTCAAAATTTAGACAATTTCTCCACTCTATTATATGCTCTAGTAAGCTTAGACGAGTTCAAACTAATAACGCTGCTCAACTCATAAATTTAAAACTTCCCCACAAAATATTATAATATATTTATTTAGCCAATAACGACAACTTTCTTGTACCATTATAACCTTCTAACTCCGTTGACTTGGTGCGTGTATTTCGCCACCCCCGGCGCTTATATATTCTTTGTTTTGTGGTATAATAAATAAATTAATTAAATCATTTTATCATCATATCCTCTCAATCATTTTCACACTTCTGATCTCTCCGTTTTCGATCGTATCATTGACTCTAGATTGAGGGATTTAGGTTTTTGGTCGGCCATGGATATGTCGGACATGCAATCGGAGGGGAAGTCGCCGAGAAGGGAGCTCCAAGGGCCTCGGCCGGCGCCGCTCAGAGTACGTAAAGACTCGCACAAGATACGGAAGCCTCCGGTGGCGCCGTCGCAGCATCCTCCGCCGCAAGCGCCGCCGCGGCCGCCGGTTATCATCTATACGGTGTCGCCCAAGATTATCCATGCAAACCCTAGTGAGTTCATGTCGCTAGTGCAGCGCCTCACCGGCCCGGATCACTCCACCTTCGCTGCTGCTGCTTCTTCTTCGTCGTCATCGATAGCTGCTGCGTCTTCGTCGTGGTTGTCGGCGGCGGCCTTTCAGGACAACTTCAACGTCGGCGGCGGAGGCGCGGTGTCTCCGGCGGCGCGGTTTGCTTCCGTGGAGAGGACGAGGACTCCGCAGGGGAAAAAGCAGCCAATTCACGACGTCACGGCCGACATAGGAATGGTTGAAGGGATGGAGATAAGCAGTGATGTTGAAAGAAGCGTTTTTTTTCCGGGGGTTTTGTCGCCAAGTCCGTCGTCTCTCCCACCAATACCGCCCAATTTTTTCTCTCCGCCGTCGTCCGATCAAAACCCTCTAGGGTTTTTCCCAGATTTCATTAGCCCTGGGTTACACACCAACAACAGAAACTCCTTAGAAACGAATTTGTTTATGCCTAGCCCTTCCACCATTAATAGCTTCATTTCTCCCGGCCGGTTCTTAATCTCTCCAGGTACTCCATCTCTAGACTTCTTCAATAATATCTTTGACCTTTAGACCCCCCATTTTTGTGCATCCGTTATACTGATGGAATGAGAAGGAAGATGATGAGGAGGATAAAAAGGGAATTTCACACTCATGGTTCATGAAATGTGGTCGGAATAATGGCCGGAGATCTGTCACGGGAAAGAGTCAAGCCAAGAGGTTCCTTTTTTCTCCTCCTAATTATTACAGTAATTGAAATGGTGGGCCATTTTGGTACAGCAATTTAGGTTAGGATTATTGTTATAGTTTTTACTATTATTTTTTTTGCCTCAAATTTCTTTGTGATATATTCATCCAAGATTGAGATATTATGGGATCATATACTTGTACATTTAATTTGTTGGCTTGTTGTTTTCGACATAATTAACATTGCTCATTCATTGACTTTCTTGGTTCTTGTCCCTAAGTATGAATAATTAGCCACAAATCTCATTTCTCTACTCCACCCTGATGCATGTTTTTATATTAATATAATATATAATATAATATAATGGTACTGTCATTATGTGAATTGTTTAAAGTGCAAGTGGGCTGGGGGTGCACATGTTTTTCCTCACGTTTGGTAGTATGTTAGTCCAATCTTATCAATAATAAAATAAAGCTAACATTAATTTTAGCTACATTCATCTACTCTCGTACTTGTTGGGGTCCTCAAATTTAAGAAGCACAATACTTGTGCTTGTAAGAGATATATATATATATACTCCTGTTACGTAATATGTATTGATTAGTCAAAATGGGTGATAAAATCAATTGAACTAACACCGGAAAATAAATAAACGTAAAGCTTAAGAAATAAGAGTGAAGATTTATGAAATGTGATTGAATTGCACGGAGTAAAAGTGTTGTACTGCGCAAATGGTCTATATATCTTGGTACAAAAAAGATCATGTTTGACTGTTATATTGCATATTTGCATTAGCTATATATACAAGGTAAGCCTTGCAATGAACATATATAATTGCTTCTTGTTTGTGTTACTCGAGTAGTTAGCCCTATGTTGATCTTTTACACTAAATGCAATCTATCCTCAATATTTCTACTGCTACTTCAACGAGAAAATGTAATGCTTTAAGTGATGAGACTCGAAACTTATATTTTAATATTTATATTATCCCGTCAATGAGATAATGAGCGGGCTAGCTACACCATCGGAATCAATGATCGGTAAATGCATTAGGGAGCATGTAAAAAATAAAATAAAGTATGTGCAGTGTAATCAAACTCTTAATTTAAGCCTCGGATTTTATTTTTATTTTCACGAAATATTATTGCTTCTACATTATATAAAAGTCAAGCCTTTTATTTATATGGATGACATATATACACAAGAGGCCGCCTTTTAATAATTAGCTCTTGGCTTGAAAATATTAATGTTGAATTTTGATGGGAAAAAGATTATGCATTGTGGATAACAAAATAGGGGATATGATATGATTTTAATTGAATTTCACTCATTATGATGAATAACAAATAAAGAAAAAAAAAGATTAGAATTTAGAACAAAAAAAAAAATATGTAATTCATATTAAACTTTGAATCACTAATTTTATATTTATTGGTAGTTAATTTACTTATACATTAATTAATCAAAATAAAATTATAACTTTTTATAAAGTAATATTACTTCCACAAAAAGGTGAAAACATTAAAAATACAACTAAAAGACACTTCTTCCATTGGATTAGGGATTGCACATTAATGGCTATATGCTCACACGCCTCGCAGTCGCTTATGAGTGACGTTGAGATTTGAACCCATGACCTTTAGTCTAGGTCTGATACCAAATTGAAGCACGTACTCCATCTCAACTAAAAGCCTAAGCTGATTAGTTGGGTTGCACATTAATGGCTATATGCTCACACATTTTACTCTTGTTCAATACTATTTTTTTCTCCCATTCTTTTTGTTTTTTTTTTTAGATAATAAGAAAAACTCCTAGTCACTATCCGAAAGTATACACAGGATAAATTCATTACTATGTAATAACATGCAAATCACACAGGAAAAGTAAATCGTTCTTAAAAAAATCTGATGTGATGAACTCAAATAAGAAGATGTTATGAGTCTCTTTCTTATACTATACAAATACAGTAGTGTTGTATTATATATGGACATATTTCACCTTTAATTTGGTACATGCATGTATGTCTGGGGTCCAAATTGGATGACTCTTGGACAAATTAAAATAGCATAAAAAAAGATAGATCCTGCGAAATGTGTTTTCTGCTGAATGAAAAGTCAAAGAATAGATCTGATGTTTTGTCCTTGATCGATTTCTTTCCTTAACTTTAAGAAAAGAGGAGTTAGAATGTTCGTTCCAAAAACATGGATGACGTCGATTGCGCATCATGAAGTGGCTTTTGTGACAATCATATCAGAAATCTAATTTTAAAAATAAAAATATATGGAGTAATAATACTAAAAGCTTGCATAAAACTATTGATCGATTCAAAAGGCCTAAATTTTTAAAATTTGATTACAAGTAGTTATTATAAATAGTTCAATTCTAAGGATTATATAATGCGAGTTATAATACGGATGCCAAAACGACGTCGTTTTATTAAAAAACGCGCGTCTCCCTTTTAAAAAAAATTCAGGTTCGATATGATTCCCAGCAACAACATTATATTGTTCATTCATTCTGGAATTTTAGTTCATAGATTATGGAATTATAGTTCATTGATTATGGAATTATAGTTCATCGATTATGGAATTGTAGTTCATCGATTCTGAAATTTTAGTTTATATATTATGGAATTTTAGTTCATTCATTCTGAAATTTTTAGTTCAAAGGTTAGATTATGGATTTATAGTTCATTGATTATGGAATTATAGTTCATCGATTATGGAAATTATAGTTCATCGATTATGGAATTTTAGTTCATATGTTGTTGTTGGGAATCGAACCTGATTTTTTTTTTTTTTAAGGGGAGACGCGCGTTTTATTAAAACGACGTCATTTTTGCATCCGTATGCACCATGCATGGTGCATACGGATGCACAGCATAATTTGCCATATCATTAGTAGTAGAAAAAATTTTGGTAAATTAACTGTTAGCGAATTACATACAAATGACTTTCTCAAAAAGGTGATTGAAAAAAACTACTTTTAACAGCTTTTTGAATTTTAGCGTTTTGAAGCAATAAATTGTTACAAAAAGCTAATTAATCAAACACTCATATTGATTGTTGAACCAACTCAAATAGTTAATAGTGGTTAAATAAATCAAAATTAACTAATAGGTTAACTATTTTACCAAATAAGGACAATATGAACGAGATTTTTATATTGCATTGTTTCAAAGTTAAAAAAAAAAAAAAAACAATAATAATGTGGCTCTCAAACAGAGGGACCGTGAGAGCTAGTCCTTACTAGTTTGGGTCTCCCTTCCTTTCTTATCCAAAAAAAAAAAAAAAAAAAAAAAGAGAAAATGACACTTTTTCCCCCTGTGTTATATGCTTATAGCATTTTTTCCTCCTGTGTTATATGCTTATAGCACTTTTTCCCCCTGTGTTATATGCTTATAGCACTTTTTCCCCCTGAGTTATTCATGCATTCACATTTGCCCCCTCAATTATTATAAAAGTGACGATTTTTCCCCCTGATAATATTAAATGGACATTTCTACCCTTAAAACAAATATTTTATTTATTTCTCTTCTTCAACAAATTATTGCTTATACGTAGGGATGACCACGGTTCGGTTCGAACTGAACCAAACACTATAGCAATCAAATTAAAAATTTTCGGTTATGATTCATAACATAACCCAATATTTGGGTTTCCGTTTATTAAAATCGTGAACTGGAAAAAAATGGATCCTGAATCATGAACCGGAGGTTCAAATCGGAATAAATACTAGCAATAGCTTAAATTAGAATTATAATATTTGCAAATAGTGTATGTTTTTTTTCGCATTTATATTGACTCTCACATATAAGTATATATAATCGCGGTTTGAGTTTTATTTTGAACCGTCGGTTCACAATTTTGGATCCAATTTGAACGGTTGGTTCAAACTTTCTTTTAAAATTTTATTTTTTTATTTTTAAAATACTCTAAATTCAACACTTAATGTATTTTATTTTTTCAAATCGTGGTTATAATTTGTTGGAGAAGAAAAATAAATGAAATATTTATTTTAAGGGTAAATATGTCCATTTAATATATCAGGGGGAAAAACTGCCACTTAAATAATTTAGAGGGAAAAAGTGCTATAAGTATATAACAAAGGGGAAAAAGTGCCATTTTCCCAAAAAAAAAAAAACAAAACAAAACAAAACAAAACAAAAAACAAAAAAGCAATAATATATCCTTAGATACAACAGTTATACCATGCAAGGTAGATTAAGCTCATTCAGGTCTAACATACACAATTTACATACTGAATATTCATAATTTAAATTGTGAACATTTAGTATATAAATTGTGAACATTCAGTATGTAAATTGTATATTTTTAAATTTAGGTCTACCTTGCAAGATGAACTCGGGTCTATAGAATAATTCAATATGGGCTTACTGGCTTGTCTGGGCTGACATTCCTAGGCCTATAAGGCTATAAATGATGTTCTATGTTTGCAGAAACTTCAAAGGATTCATTTTACTTGGTTTGTTAAAGGCATGGGCCAATCTTTGTTGGGCCGATCAACTAGTACAAACTCAATAGCCCATCCAATTCTCCCAGGCAATTTATATCGTGTACCATGGCGCACATAGTATGTGCGCTCAGAAACAAAATGCGCGCATTTCATGCTAACGTCACTCTTTTCGTTCGAATAGACTAAACTCCATTATGTGTATTCAGTTAAAAATTTATGTGTATTGTGTTATGAGTTTATGTGTATTCAGTTAAGAGTTTGTGTGTATTATGTTAACCGAACCCCATTAGTATTCAGTTAAAAGTTTATGTGTATTGTGTTATGGGTTTATGTGTATTCGGTTAAGATTTTATGTGTATTATGTTAACCAAACCCCATTATGTGCATTCAGTTAAAAGTTTATGTGTATTATGTATTATATTAGATTATGTGTATTCTGTTATAAGTTTATGTGTATTCTGTTATGAGTTTATGTGCATTCGGAACAGGTGATTTTTTTAACAACTTAACAAAACGACGTCGTTTTGGGAGGCGCGGGGCGCACAATACTATGTGCGCCGTGGTGCACGGTATAACGATTGATTCTCCAAACCCAGGCCTACTCCTGACAATTTATATCGTGGACCAAGATTCACATAGCATTGTAGATCCTGAATCAAAATGGCGTCGTTTTTATATTTAAACTTTTAACAAATTTTGTAGTTTTTCTTTTTCATGTTTCAACACAAATTTTAATTTATTCTAGTTATAGAATCAATATTCTTAAAGGTGTAGAATTTGATA